AACGCCAATTTCCCTTACTTTCTGAACGAAGGCTTTTCTCGACGAATCCGATGATCTCGTGTCCTTAGACACACCCCATTATAGTTTTCCTCTGTGGCATCATTGGGACGGGAAAGGCATTCTCGTTCGCGATCTCACTGATGAAAGGAGTAACCCCTTACGATCAGTGAATATTACGCGTCCGACTTAGATTTTGTGAACACGTTCATCTATCATCCCGTCGACTGCGGTTTCGTTATTGGACGTAGGATCATTGTTAGTTTAGTTGTTAGATTAGTTTTTCGAGTATCTAATTACCACGGTTACTTGTCCAATTCTATAATAATCGCATTTGCACTAGTTAATGTCTTCCCTATTGCATAACGACAATGTGTAATCCAAATGAAGATTCGTTTCACGCCCCTAACCCTAATTCTAATGTAAATCCGACATATATAAATTGAAACTCTAATATAAAAGTTTGAGTATAAAACATTCACTGATTTTTGATACGTATCACACAGTTGTATTGTACTTTAATGTTAAGATTTTAAGACTTTATTCCAATTAAAAAGAACATTTACAGCTTTTTAAATTATCAATCATTTTTATTGTATAATTAACAATAATTCAAACAAAATATAATAAATAGAACAAATTGAAATACAATATGTAAAACGACTTACATTCTTGAGCTCCTGCAGAGGCTTTGTCCTCTTGAGAGATGCACTGTCTCTACCGAAAAAGAGTGTTCAAAAGAATATGAAGCAAGACCACATTACCGCGACCGCCAAAATTATAACCGGCGAACAAGAACTCTATTGTCCCGTACAAAATTGTTTGATAAAATTGTATTACTTTCTCGTGTGATTATTTAATTGGATTTAATCAAAACGTCCGTGATTTGAAAATATTGAAAAATACTTTTGCAGAGCAAGCACTGACTTTACAAACCGCATTGCACGCTGTCACAAATACTCTCTAAAAATAGAGCTGTTGATGGGTGGGGTGGGGTGGAGTGGCATGGGACGGGGCGTAGAAAAGAAGCGAAATATTGTTTCGATGTTTTTCTTTTTTTTTGTCTATCGAACGTTTATTTGCTCTATCAAACGTTTATTTAGAAAATACTGCTACTTTTCTTTTACGTATGAAAAATATTAATTTAAAATTATAAGATATTTCTCGACATCGAACAAATGTTTACGAATACCATGAATGCAATGGGAACATTTGCAAGAATTATACTATGAATGTTCGTTGCTAGAATATGAGATATAAACTCCACTAATAAACTATAATCCCGTGTTATACGGGATTATTGATACGGTAGTCAGCGACTACTACTTTATTTAGATATTGTACTTTCTAACTCAGTTTAATCATTAAATTGTTCTGAATTTTTGAACGGCGTAGTGAGCCCCATCGATACGAATGATTCAATCTCTTTGACATATCAGTACTGCTAATCAAAAATAAGAACACTACATCGTTTAATTCCCAATTCTGGATCTACATATGCATTACATATTAACGGTTATTATCACATGACTCAACCAAAACAGAGCTAATATTTTTATAAAATTGAATTTTATAAAAAACCATATCTATTAAATATTTATGATATATTTTCAGGTTGGATGTCTATAAGTCATTGTTGGTCTATTATACATATTTCCGTTGTTGTTTTTAGTACTAGATAAACCAATTATGACCGAATAGTCATTTATTATAATTCGGTATATCCTGTTTTTTATTTGTTAATTTGTCTCCTTTGTTCTAAGCTAAATTTATTTCGAATAACTTTAACCTTGATTTAGTTATAATTAACTTCCTGTGTATTCGTATTATGCGGCGAAATGAACTATCTACCATATACCACGGTTAATTTAATTCTTTTTGTTACTTTTTGGGACGAATTCGCAGATGTTTATCTACACCTGGCTTTATGGTTCATCATACTATTGGTCAGTTAATCTCTTAGGGTAAGTACCGAATTTATTTATTGATTTCTACATAGATTAGTTTACTATGATCCTGTAATCTCATCTTCCTTTACTATACCTTAATTACAGCTTTTCTACACCTATCAATTTATTATCTTTATTAAATATACTGTATTTACTTTATTTTTATTTTTATTTAGGCCCGGACCATCCCAATGCTATCGTCTTCGCATTCTATATGACCATACCCCACTTAAACCTAAATTAACAATGAACTACGATCACTTAAACTCTCAACTTCGGCATTTAACACAAGAAAATTCACACTCTACACAAAATTAATTTTGATGTTAACTAAATATTTATTTTATTATACAAGTGACTATATTGTATACCCTATCTTTCAGCCTATGACCTACGTCCACCCTATCAAGAGACTCGTAGTTATTCCTTTGTTATTGTTCCTGAGCTGTAATTGCTCTTTATTTCAATTCCTATTTAGTAAAATCCTAGTTCTCTATCTTTTAATTTAGTCAATATATTAACCAAATCCACTAATCGCTTACTTTCCTAATGACAGCAAACAAAGATCACCGTACGCACTCCTGACCCCCTGGCTCTTTCACGGAATCCTAACCATTCCCGTGGACATTGTACTTTTCCGCCATTTTTCCAACACGAAAAGGAACTATCCAGCACTACCTCGCTAGTTAACCATTAATACCTCTCAAAAACCTTAAGATTAATTCCACCCACGTTATGTCAGGTCTACACCAAGCCATCTACTATTTCAACTAGCCTGTGCTCACGAACGGAAGCTCGTGGCAAACATGTCCGCACGTAACGAAGTCTCAAGTCAAACTGAACTTAACCCAACCTAACCCAACCTTTTTTGCGCGAGGAGGGGAAAATGCATTACGTATACCCAGTGACCCGCGTCAACGGGTTATGTGAGACGCGGCAGATGGTAGTGCCATATCCACAAAAACCCATCCTCTTCCTAATACTTCGTAGAGTGGTGAGTCTCGCAGGCACCAGTAAATAAGCATTACTTCGGCGAGACACCATTTGATGCATCAACTCCTTGTACAGTTAACTCACATTATTCTCTTCGATAGTTGCTGCTTGCAGTCACATTTGCTCTTCTCCTAACCCGATTATTTGCGATTTCCTGTGCTTGCATCGATTTCATCACCATCCCACAAAATTCCCGGAACTTCCCTCAGATATGGTCGTTAGCCGAGACTAATGCGATTACATTATTCGCATTGAAGATATCCCCCAACATGTTCTCAATCGTGGTGCGCTGAACTGCCCATTTAGGACACCTTAATAACACATATTGGGTGTCATCTGGCCTCGAATTGCAATCCCAACACTTATTGTCAGTTTCTTTGTTAATCCTGACCCTGTAATTGTTGAAGATCCCATGCCATTCAACATGTGCATGGTGAAGTGGTCGATACTCCTCTTCCTCTTCCGAAAGGTGGCTGCATAATCGATCAGCCACGTCGTCCACTTATTGGTGATGTAATTGGACAATACCGTTCTGCACTCCTCCAAAGCTTCCTCTTCATGCAGCTTGAGGTGATCGAGTATCACCTCCGGATCCTCGAGGTCAGGTCGGACTAATTCCTTGACCTCAAATACTTTACCACGCGTCGTGATATGATTGGGCATGGTCCCCATCAGCACGCACAGCGCCGCGTGCCAGACTGTCCTGTAGACCGTCGAATTACTTATTAGGGCACTGCTCTGTGAGAGTTCTTTCATAAACTTTGTCTTTCCCAGCGCATCCACCCACACTGCGGAGGCGTATAGCGTGACCAACTCCCATACCTGGTAGTACAGCTTCCTGCAGGCATTAGAGGGGCCATTTGTTACGTCATATGGAGCATCTGCACTCAGCCGACGTTACCTGGCAGCCAGCGGCCGACCTACCTTCTTCCCGACCCTCAATAAACTCAAGGATCCACCATAAAACATCAACTTCTAGCTTAATTGTTTCCACATGTTCCCAAGCAATCTATTGTAATATCGTAAAGTAATTCGAATTAGAAATGAGTTGAAAATAGAAAAACCGTGTACGTCGTCTTTCTGTGGTTCGTTTACATTTAAGAGTGCCTACGTGTAGGTGGTAGTTCTTACATAGGTATGAGGGAATAGACAACGTTAGAAGAAGGACGGTTTCGCTATACAAGGCGAATCGAAAAGTGTTCGTGTTGCGAGAATCAGAGCTAATTGAGTCGTCGAAGAGTAGAGTCGTGAAAATTGATAGAGTTGTTAGAGAGAGAGAGTGTGTGTGTTAGATTCGTTGTGACTGTAAAGTATATAACTGTAAAGTATAATAACTGTAAAGTTATTTGATATAGATACGAGTATTGTATTTAGTTTCCGTTAAATAAATATCGTTTTCTGTCCAATTTATATTTGTATATTCAATTTAATATTAATAAATTGTAAGTAATCGGGAAAATAAATTCTATCTTCATTTTCCGATATTGCACTATTTGTCTAGATGTATTTTCGGTTTATGTCCGGATTTAGGAAACGTCCTTGATTTTATTAGGCTCTTAAAAATCATGGAAAAAGCAGGTATACTGGGAAAACCCAACACATGTCCACCGAAAACGACTAGCTTTTCCCAGGAATGAAATCACCCCCGACCCAC